TATCATTTTAGAAGTTTTAAAATTATATAATAGAATTAATTTTGATATTATATTATTTTAGTTGATTGGTTAAGGAGTTTTAAATTTTAATTATGAATATTTTTAATCAATCCTAATGATTCCCATATTAAATTTTATTTGCTTTTAATAAGGTATAGAAGATAAGATTAAATTATTTGGTACATTAAAAAAAGACTAATTTAAACTTTAAGAATTATTTTATTGTGTTTGAAACTTTGGGTCATTTTTTATTGTCTTTGGTGTCTTTTGTGATATAGTCAAGAAAAATTTTTAGATCTTTTCAATTTTTATAATTATGTAAGAGTATAAAAATTTGTTTATTTTTATGCCTTTTATTATATTTCTACTTGTTTGGATATTAATGTATTTTATAACTATATTTTCTATTTGATATTATAAATTTTTATATTATCTCATATATTTAATAGTATTAAAAATTGATTAATTTGATCAAATCACATTGATTCAATTTAAGTTAGATTAATTTAGTTATCATATAATAATAAATTAGATTGATTTAAAAATTTTATTAATTAATTAAGTTAATTTAATTTAAAAAATATTCAAATTTAAATCAAACCACATCGTGAATGCTCTACTCTAAGAGATTGAAAGGTTTATTTAGACTCTGTCGCATTTGCTCAAGAATATTAAATATTTTAGAGCTTCCAATTTTGTTTGAACAAGTTTTGAAGTAGCCAGAAATTGTCAAAATTGATAATGAGATCCAACTAATATACAGTTGATATCTCAACAAATTTAAAGACAAATTAACATGAAATTTGTGATATGATATTGATATATCAAACAATTCTAAAGGAAGAAAATTTCCACTCAAGAATTATTGAATTATTCCATGCTCTTATAATAGTCTGTTATTTAGGACCAGGCAAATGGTTGGTTATCTAATAGGTAGTAAAAAATTAATTAAATGGCTAGATGTAAATGGTTTTTGATTTTTTTTCCTTGTTTTGGTAGGATAATCGAAAAAATTCAATCAAATAATGGTCAGAG